GTATTCAATTGAGTTTAATTATTCAGTCTTCTCCATACATTTGCAGAATAAATTCCACAAAGACAGGATTATCGTTTTGTTTAATGATCATATCCCAAATTCCTTTATAACCTTAACTGGTCGGTTGATAGAGACCAGTGGCAAGCCATTTTACATTTACACATGCAGCATTTGGAACCACTACTGTAATGAAGGATCGACAGCAAAGCTGGCAATAGGGGAAATGCTGAGAGTAATTATGGAAAAGCATAGAACTTCTAGATCTCCTCCTTTATGTAAAGTAGCTTAGTGGTTGTTCTCCAAGGATGTGTGGTCTTCAGGAATGAAGTCACATTGTGACTGTATTTACTTGTATTATAGATTACAGCATTCTCTTGAACTCACTTTTCTAACTGACCCTGTATGTCTTAGGGTTTTGGGATCATATATTTTCAGTAGTATAGCCTTAAGCATCTAAATCAGAGTTTATAACGATATTGATTCATTATTCAATAATTTCTTTAATGAATATTCCAAACAGGCAATGCAGAATGTCACAATGAGTAGGTAAAACATCACAATGACCAGTTAAAAATGGACTATTGAGTAATTATCTAGATTAATTCACAAGGTTCTGATGGATAAACAGAATAGTCTGTAATGTACCTTTTGGTTCAAGTTGAAGTCAAATGAAGTTCACCTGAGGTAGATAGTGTGGGTGAAAATGAATTTTCTTCCCTAGATATTACGACTTTTTTCCAATGCAGCAAAAGCATTATTCAGACTCTATGGCAAGTATGTAGGATTGATTCACAGTATTTATTTAAAGAATGTTTTCTTCAGCTTCCTAAGCAAGTTTAAAAGGTGGAACGATTTCTTAGATACAGGTCATTTCACTAGATGTCATCACTCACTTCCAGAGTTTGAACCAGGGAACAGTGTTCTGCCTCTCACATACTGGTGTTGTTTAGCTAATCACAGCGCACTACTGACATTTCTTAATCTTCAGGTAACCTGTTGAGGATTTATCATGTTAGTACACATAGGATGTAATTGATCTCTTAGTCATGATGAATTGCCTGTAAAGAAACATGGCCCCTAGCTGGACATTATATGACTTTGATTCAGAACCAAATCATCATCAATCACCTCAGAAAAATCTCAGGACCAAGAGGCTGTTTTCACTGAGTTTTCCTGAGCTAAAGGATGGAAATAAATGTCATATTTCATTAAAAGTATGTTCTTTGAGTTTTCTGTCATAAAATGTAATTTAAATAGTGATTCGTATAGGCATGCTCATTTTTCCACAATCAAAACCAGCCTACAAATGGACTTTTTAAATGGAAAATACATTAACAAATGACAGATTATTTGTGATGTAATGAGCTTTTCTAGAATAGGTGGAAGCAGAGGTAGACTGTGGATAATGTAAAGGGCCTGCCTGAACTCCTACCATAGACCATGGTAGTGCTATTCCATCAGCACTGTACAATATTTTGGCAAACAACAGTCCTAGTCCAGCCTTCCTTCTTAACTTCTGACAAGGTGGAAAACACCATAGGAGTAGTCATTTGAACTATGTCTCCCAAAGCCATGGTTTACAAGGCTTTACATGGGGAAAATGGTACTTGTGTGCATATTTAAATGGATCTGAAGCTGAACAAATGGTGTAACTTCTACCTTTCCATCTTCATATTCAGTAGGCACCTATTCAATGGATCCAAGTTCTTTTCAAGAGCTTGCCATCTAGTGCTTTCCCTTGATTAAGGCAGAGGGAATGAAAGAGTTCTTTGTAAATCACTGAATCAAGATCATGGATATAAACCTGCAACAACTGGTCAGTAGCTAAACATTGCCTAAAGAAGCAGAAAGGAAATATTTTAGAGAAAAATCAGAGCACAAAGGAAACTATTGAGTATTTAAACTTAATGCAACCATCAAGTTGGTATGCTTAGTCAAAAATGGAGAAAATAATTTGGAATACAATGGAAGTGTTTCAAGGAAAAAAATCTCATTTTCTAATCACCCATTAGTGTGTTAGTGTTTAGAGAAACAAAAAAGAGGTTGAAAACATGTCAGGGAACAATATTTTTGCATGTGACTAGTTCATAAGAAAGTATAATAATCCTTAACTCTTTTTCTTTCACTAAAACTTACACAAGTAACCAAAAATAATTACACCATAATTTTGTACTAATGATAGCACAGTAATTTAGAATAATGACGATTAGATAATAATGTTTAGAATAATGGCGATTAATATGAAATTTTTGTAGATGACACTTGACACTTAATAATTTGTTTATTATCATTATCTTAACTAGTTGAACAAAGGAATTTCATTTCAACATGTCTTTTGAATAACTTTAATTATGTAGATGTTTTTCTTGTTTTCCCACTGCCTAGTGCATTGTATAAATTAAATTATTAATAAATTAGTGAACATGGGAATTTTCAAAATGTCTAATTTTATTCTCAGATCCAATGTTTCTAGCATTTGAAAAAAAATTGTGTAGTTATGAATTTACAATAGATCTTTTTTCCCCTTACCCTCCACAAATTATATCAACATCAAATACAGTGAAAGCACGGGTTATACTGTGGGGGAGGGACATACAAAGAAACAAAGAAGTCATCTTATAAATGTGTTAGAAACAATTGGATGAAAGAAAAAAAACATTTGAATACATATCTTGGGGTTCATTTCCCTAACATCACCTTATCTGACATATACTAGATATTGCATATACTAGATATTGCAAATAAGGTAAACCATGGGACCTATGTTTCTTTGGTCCTGGCTTACTTCACTTAATATAATTTTTTCCAAGCCTTTCCATTTCCTAACAAATGGGGCAATGTCATTCTTTCTGATGGAGGCATAGAATTCCATTGTGTAGATATACCACATTTTCTTGATCCATTCATCTACTGAGGGGCATCTGGGTTGGTTCCATATCTTAGCTATGGTAAATAATGCTTACAATAGATCTTAAAGTTAGAAAATACAATTGTTTGAGGCAAATAATTTTAATAATTTTAAATTCAAGTATGTAATAATGGGAAGGGCAATCATATTTTTGACAACGAAAACCACCACAGTGTAGGGAAATTTTTTAGCATTCTGTACAGTAAACGTTATTAACTCATTAATGTCAAAACTGAGATAATTCCATGTCTATAGCAAGAAAAGTTTTAAGAAATTTGGCAATTCTATCACTTTAGTTAGAATAATTACATTTTTTGCTTACATGTTATTTTTTAATATTTTAATTTATCTTTAAGTAGTTGTACAAAGGAGTTGTCAGTTAACAAAGCAATTTAGGAATACAATGTTCAATGTTCAATGTCATTCTCACCCTGTCCCTCCCCTCCCAATCCCTCCCTTGCTTACATTTGTATGAGACACACTGAATTCTTAACTGCATTCTTACATACATTATTCTTAATTGTGAATGTTCTAATATTTTCTTACAGCAATTTTCTCATAATGTTCTGATGTAATTTTTTCTTATAATTTTTCAGGCATAATTTAGGTGAACTTAATGTGTTTCTGAAGCTCTGTCACTTTCTCAGGAAAATGGAGCTATAATGAAAGGTACAAAAAGCAGACTTTAGTTTTCTTATTGATCAGGGTGAAATAGATTAATGTTTCAGTTTTAACCCAACTACATTGTTTAGTTGTAAAAATAGGTACATTCAGTCACTTCTTTTGTTAAAAACATGTTTTTATTTTATATTTTACTAAATAATAAATGCCTACAAAATGCTCTACAGCATGCCATACATACATTCCAGCTTGACTTTTCCTATTGAAAACAATAGTTAACTCCCACAAGACTTACATAATTCTTTAGTTAGCTTTAATAAATGTGGTGATGAGTTATAGAAGTAATAAAATTAAGAAAACCTTTTGTTTTACGTACATTCTATTTATCTTAGGCAGATAAATAAAAACATGGCACTTCATTTGGATAATAGGTATTAAATATGTATATTAAAACATTGTTTATTTTGAAAAGGTATATCATTTGATTTACCCTTGAAAAGGTAAATCCTCTCAAACTGAGAAGTAGACAATAAATGCTGACCTAGTTAGGTACTTTTCATTGTAAATAATAAGTGGAAAATTAAGAGAATGATATCTATCTATAAATCATCTAGCAAAGGAGTGATCTGAAAGCTAGGTTTGTGATAATTATCTTTCTTTGATATTAGTGTCGTTTGTTTTTTCGACATAAACTTGATGGACAGTAACATACTTAGAATAAAAAATATTATTAACAAAAGAAATAACAAAGACTGGTTTTATTATGGTAGAAACACTCATTATAAATTCAGTTAGGCATCATTCATTGGAAACAACATGAAACTGAGAAATATTTCCATTAGGTTTTTCAGCAAAATATCACTAAACTTTTAATCCTGGCCTATTTGTGGTTTGAATGTTATAGATGACAATCTAAGGAGTTCAGATCTTTATTACTAAAAGGGTTCTAGTATGTTAACTCGAGAGCTTGATTTTGGGCCTGGGCACACTCTGTGAGCTTCTTTTCCTCAAGGTTACTGCTCTATCACTTGAGGGACATCTCTACTTCTGGCATTTTTGTTTGTTTGTTTTTGGTTGGGGTTTTTTGTGTTGTTTTGTTTTGGTAGTTTAGAGAGAGTCTGGCAGACTTTCCTGCCTGGGCTGGCTCTGAGCCATGATCATCAGCCACCTGAGTAGTTAGAATTAGAGGCACTAGTCACTGGTGCCTGGCTCTTCATAACTAAAATAAAACAAAAAAAATGCCTTTGTTTGTTTAACAATGGGTCAAAGATAGCATGGAAAATACAAAAAGTAGTATATTAAATGTTAAAGGCTTATGTCATTCAAAGCAAACATTGATTAGTAAATCAGTCATATATTTTATACATTTCATAAAAGACAAGACAGACAAGAAATTGGTCAGTTGGTATAATACATTTTTGTTTGTGGAAAGTGAATTAAGAGCAGTGATCAATTTCACTTGAAGATAATACTAGTATCTTTTCTTCTTCTTACATTTTCGGAATTTTTGGTTATATTTGTTTCCTGGGTTGTTTTCTGTACTACTGTCGCTGTCACTTGTTTTCTTCTGTCTTTTTCGTTTATTCGTCTGATAAAGGTTGGAGTCACCTGGCTGCTGATGTGTCCATTCGTAGGAGCTGGGTCCAGGGTCCACAGCAGGAAGGTGGTTGTGTGAGGAAGTCCCAGATGTGCTGTTGGATGCTGAAACAGTCATCTCATAGTAAGGAAGCTGTGGCGGCGGGTTTTGGGTGTACCACTGCTGTGACAAAATAGACATTCATTCACCAAAACACTTCCAAAGGTTAAAAAAAAGAACATGTTACAAGCATATGCAAATAGTCATGGACAATCACGCTGTCATTTGGCATAAGATACACAATGACTTTATAAAAGATATGTGGAGTTTAATTAAATTGTTAACATAAGGTAATAAATACTTGGGACTAATTATAACACAGACTAACACTGTCAGGAGACATAATGTAAACCACACACGTAGCTCTATCTTGTAGTAGTCACAGTATAAAAGTATTTAAATATCCTAAAGTTAAAAAAAAAATAAATATAATGTATTTAAATGGCCTGATATATAGAAAAAATAAAACAAAAGTAATGCCATTTGACATGCTTCCAATGTAAAATTATTAACAAGATATACATAAAATATATTCAAATAGATGAGGTGCATTTTTGCTCACAGAATATCTCAATTTGCATTTTAAATGTTCATTGAAAAGGTTTGATCTAAATTTGGATTTCAGAAAATTATAGCTAACCCAATTGTCCACATATACAGGGTATTTCAAATATACTTGAACATTTTCCAATAACTTGGCCAAGTATTGATTTTAAGTTTTAATAAAATGAACTAAAATCCTTAGGTGCATCTAGAGCTAAAAGCCTATGATTTTTTTCAGTACAGTTGTCATTTTTGAATTAGAGAGAGAGGCTTCCATATTTAAAAACAAATTAACTCTAGATGAGGTGGTACACTGGTAAAATCCTAGCTACTGCAGTGTTCTGAGTAGGTAAATTTCTATCAGAAACAAGTCCAGGGCTTACACCCTTATCCCAAAATAATTAAGACTCAGTAAAGTTCTCACTGTGTCTGACTAGCAAGCCTGAATCTCTGGGTATAAAACCCAAAACAAACAAACAAAAGTCAAAAACCTGAAACACAAAAACCTAAACAAAAAAAACCCTCACAAGAATATTTAGTAGTGATATAATTATCTAGCTCTCTAAAGTCTTCCCAATCTTTATGAAAGGTGGTTTTTCTTTCTTGCTATTGTTTCTAACATATTTATAAGGTGATTTTTTTTTTGTTGCTTTGTATGTCCCTCCCCCACGTTATTATAAGCCCTATTTTCACTGTATTTGATGTTGGTATAATTTGTGGAGGGGAAGGGAAAAAACAAATTGTTTAAATAAGGATACAGGTGGACCCATTGCAACAATGAGATTTACAAGATGTTATGTAGAAAAATGAACTTTACAACTATAGGCGGGGGAGAGGGGATGGAGGTGGAGGTGGGGGGGGGAGTGTAGTCATGGAGATGGGAGGGCAGGGATGGTAGGGGAAAAACAAAGGAGGAGGCAACAACGCTTGATAAGAAATGTACCCCAGGGCTGGGAAGGTGGCTCAGTGGTAGAGCGCTTGCCTTGCATGCATGAGGCCCTGAGTTCGATTCCTCAGCACCACATAAGCAAAAAAAAAAAAGCCGGAAGTGGCGCTGTGGCTCAAGTGGTAGAGCGCTAGCCTTGAGCTGAAGAGCTAAGGGACAGCGCCCAGGCCCAGAGTTCAGGCCCCAGGACTGGACCCAAAAAAAAAAAAAGAAATGTATCCATTACCTTGGCTCATGTAATTGTAACCCTTCTGTACTGTATTTTCACAATAAAAAAAAAAAACTTATTCATAAAAAAATCTAGGACAGTGCCTACTACACCATCATTAAATGCTAAGTAAAAAAAACATCATAGGAAGAGCCAGGTGCCAGTGGCTCACACTTGTAATCCTAGCTATTCTGGAGGCTGAGATCAGATTGTTGTTCAAAAGAAGTCTTGGCAAGAATGTCTATAAGACTTGTATCTCCATTATTTCACAAAATGCCAGAAGTGGAATTACAGCATAAGTGGTAGAGTGCCTACTTAGACTGGAAAAGCTAAGGGACCCAGACCCAGAGTTCAAGCCTAAAACTAATACAAAATTAAATAAACCAGTAATTAAATAAATATCATAAATCAGGGCTATAGACCATGGGCTTAGCTCATTGACTTGACATGAAGCATACCAGAGTTCAGACCCAAAAACTGACAAAATTCAAAACAAAAGAAAAATCCTTCACACTAAGTGCAATTATTTCATCCTAAGAATATGCTTTAAAATATTTATTAAGAACTAAGTACTCACATTTCACTTGGACAATTGTAACATTACTCTTCTCTACTCCATTTTTGTTGAGGCATTTATTGTTAGAGTAGAATGATTTGGGAGCCCTTTCTATGTTTAAATTTGATTATCAGTTGTTAAGAACAAGTTACAGGGCCTTCAGCATTTGAATTTGAATAGAATACACTGAGCAAAATATCCATCAAACTTACCATCTTCTGAAAGAAAACATATTCTTGAGGTAAAGCAGTATTATTAATTGGAAAAAATTGCATGGGAAAGGAAGATCTTCCCATCATTTCTTCATTCCTTTGTAGAAACAAAAGAAGCAAAACAATTTAAAATTCCTAGGTAATGTCTTTTTTTTTCTTAAAAGACAATGAAAGCTTGACTTAGATATTAACATAAGAACAAATCAGTAATAGTCACCGAGTAAACAACAACTTTATACAAATAGTAAAAAGTAAAAAAAAAATCAATTTATAGTTGAGAGTACCTTAACTATTTAACTGATATTTTGGGCAAGTATAATAAAAATACCATTTATATATTGGGGTGTGCCAAACTTTCTAAAATGGACCTTTATGGAGATGTTACAGATTCTAACAAGTGTCTAACTAATTCTAACAGGATTCTGTAACTATGACTTAACAATCTACTTGTTCGACTGGATTTCGTAATTGAAATGCTACTACTGCACAACCTTAAGAAGCATACTGTGGGAGAAATTTGAACTCAGCACAGCCAAGGCAGACATTAAGATGGGGGAAGGAGAATACAAGGAATGAGTCAGATACATAGCTATAGATGTCAATCATAAAGACTGAGAATAGACCAGAAGCTAGGGCAAGTGTGAACTTCATTCTGAAAGATGAAATAGTTGTCAATTATGACATCAGTGTCAACTGGAGAAGCACCTAGGCCATTACACTGTTGGTCAGAAGTTTCCTGTAACCTTCAGAAGAGCAGCTATTATAAAAATGGAGTTCAGAAGTGTATGGTAAGAAAGAATGTGAATGATAAAAAGTTCATCAGTGAAAGGCAGGGGACAAACATAGTAGGCTAGACAGGAGATGGGTCCACGGAAGGCAGAATGTATATGGGTACATGTATGTTGTATGGGGGCTATGATTCTAAAGAAATAAGATGAAAGCAGAAGAGCAGTCTTACAATGGGGAAGATATGATTCAGAGACAGAGGAGGTAAGACTAGGCTTGTTACAAAAACAGCTGTTGAGCCGGGCGCTGGTGGCTCACGCCTGTAATCCTAGCTACTCAGGAGGCTGAGATCTGAGGATCGCGGTTCAAAGCCAGCCCGGGCAGGAGAGACCGTGAGACTCCTATCTCCAATAAACCACCAGAAAACCGGAAGTGGCGCTGTAGCTCAAGTGGTAGAGCGCTCGCCTTGAGCTGAAGAGCTGAGGGACAGCGCCCAGGCCCAGAGTTCAAGCCCCACGGCCGACAAAAAAACAAAAAAACAAAATAAAACCAAAAACAGCTGTTGATTCTCTAAGTCATCTATTGTTTCTATGTGACTTTCATGATTGATGTCATAAGAGAATCATATATAAATTAAAACTGTTTTGTGTTGATAAACTAATTCTCCCAAATATACTCGTTGCATCCAAAGCACCACTACCTCAGACTATGATCAGACTTGGAGAGAGGGCCATTGAAGAGACAGTTAAGAAGGGGTCACATTGAAAAAAGATAGATCCACAATTCTACATAGCTGATAAAATTATGAGCAGAAAATTTGGAGATAAATTCACATATGACACTACAAAAGTAAAGGCAGAAATCTGGGTAAACTACCATAATCCACGGGGTTCCAAATACTGCCATCAAACAGCCAAAAACTATGGGAAATACATGCAACAGATCCTTCCTTACAACACATCAGTCAGTCCTACAGACATCTTGATCTTGGTCCCCCAAATTGTGAGATAACAAATTTCTGTTGTTTAAGTATCTTATTTTTATGTGATAACAGCCATAATAAACCAGTGTTACTAAAATATTATTCATTAAAAGCAAAAGGTATGAGAAGCAATAAAAGCACAAGAACTCATTTATTAGGAAAATGAGTGAGAGACTAAGAGATTTTATGGGCACCATTTTCCTCTGCATATCACCCATGATAACCTATTTTCATAGTATCTTCATAATATAATAAATATCAGAAGAAGAAAGTACTACCAATTACATGTAGTACCCTCGAAAATGCATGGAATATGCACAAGAATCTGATCTTCTATCTTAGAATCATGGTGATATATAAACTATGCAGCAAAACACAGTAGAAAATACAAGAGTTTTACTTCAATCTTCTTATGTCTATTTAGACTTGTTTTTTGGCCGTAAGGCGTCTTTACTCCACTCTTGCTATGACTGTGTTCCTTCTGAATATTGAGGAACATGAAATATCTTTTCCTATGGGATGCTAAAATCCAGAAGGAGAAGCTCTTACAGCATAGAAATGACTCCATAGGTATGTAAGTCCATATCCTTCCCCTATTAGCGTAGTGAATTCCTTTTTGTTTACACTTGCTAAGTACTTTATTCCAGTATTTTAAGTATTTGTCTTTATTTTAACATTAGCAGAATAATATTTTTCCAGGTGTTCCATTTTAAGGTAGGGAGAAGTGAAGTCACATCCAGGATCAATCATTCATGAAGAAGCAGAGGCAGAAATTGCATTCAAGCCATTTAAGACCAACTTTCTTAACTTCTGGTTTTGCTAATATAGCCATGGTAGGAAGAAGGAAGATGGGGAGTATACTGTGCTTCATTTGAAGTGCAATACTTTTAAAGATAATCTGGGGTCGTTACCATTTCCAAGGGGTGACTCTCCAATGCCTCACAAAGATAACAGAATAAGCAAGGAGAGACCATTCAGCTATTAGTAGTTGTTTTCTTTTTTAAGAATATGGTGTTCTGAAACAGATGATAAAATAACAAATAAGATGGAAGAGGCTCATAAAATGCCTGGTACAGACTGTAAGTAATCTTGTTTATGATGTAGTGATGAAGCTATGTTAGGGATGTAATGAAATTGCAAAAGGAAGGTAAGAGTGACTATAAATAAAATATAGATAGTGAATAAGTTATGATCGTGCAAAACATGGTAAAGAGAAACAGCTATCAACTCAGTGGATTGGATCTTGTGACTGCTGGGTTAAAAAGTTAAGCTTTTGTTCTTTCCTTCACTCTGCCTAAGAACCTAGAACACCAAGTTCCTTCTATGCTTAAGTGTTTTTCTCCTCACATTTCTTTAAGAGACCACAACTCCAGGAATATTTTCTCTGAATAGACACTGTTGCTCAGATCTTGTATTTTCTCGTCATTACCACAATATAGCTGGAAAGGCTGACAGGAGCAGAGAAACAAGGCCTGTGTATCCTAATGTCCACAGGGTTGTTTCTTACCCCTTCTATTGATTTGCACACTATCCTGTGTGTGAACTTATACAATTTATTTGCTGTTACATTTTCACTCTTTTAATTGTATCTTTTAATCATGTGTATTTTGGCATATTTACATAGTGTAGATGTCTTTTTGTTCTATCTCTAGAGTAGACTACCAAATAATCTAGAGTTATCATTGCTATAAAGCTATACACAATTCTAGAATATTTAAAAGCTATACACAATTCTAGAATATTTAAAAATCAACACAGTTCCATATTTAGTAAATAACTGAATGGCCTCATGTGGAAAATTAGTTTCAAGGCCAGCACTTTATTTTCTTTGTGACCTTGAGAAATGGTTAGACTTTGTGTCTGTACTCACTGACATATAAAATATGAATAACAGTAGCTTGTAGCCATCATAGCAAGAATCTGTATGCTTAAATGATTTTACAGTTATAAAAGCATAGCAGCAACTATAAAGAATACAAACAATGGAGTTTGGCACACAGTGGCTCATAATGCAATCCTAGCTACTCAGGAGGCTGAGATCTGAAGATCTTGGTTTAAAGCCAGTCTGGGCATTAAAGTCCATGAGACTTATCCTAGTTGACTACCAAAGAAAAAGGAGCCAGAAATGAAGCTGTAGTTCAAGTAATAAAGCTCTAGACTTGAATGAAAAAAGCTCAAGGACAGTGCTCAAGCCCTGAGTTCAAGCCCCAGGACTAACACACATACACACACACACACACACACACACACACACACACACACACACTCATGCACACACAAAAAAGAATACCACAAATGTAAACCTCAACTACTTGCTACTGAAAATATTAAGGCTGAATTTCAAATAAAAACATATCTCAGTATTCACAGATTGAGAAAATTATTTTAATCTGGGTCTAAATATGAGGTTTTATAATAGCCTAGAATATGTTAAAACTGTTCTTAGTACATATTAATTTACAACCTACCTTTAATCTTGTTATAAGAATATTTGTTTTACCTTTATGAAAAAAATATTTTTGATTACCTGTAGCTCTGTGAATTTATCTTAACACAGTTCTCAAAATTTTGGGTAGCTGGCTCAGAACATCGAGAACTCCCTTTAAAGGAAAGAGAATGGCGATACATGAATTAGTAATTTAATTTGGAGTTTTATTATTAAGTCATTAATTGATCTGATAGCTAACACTGGCCATGCTGTAAACACCTTTACTTTCATCGCTCAGGAGACTAAGGTGTGGATAGAGTTTAAAGCCAGTCTGAGTTACAATAATTGGATATGTCTCAAAAATGTTTCAAAACAAAACAGGCCTGATTAAACACCATATATTTGAGGACATGTAACTGAAAGAAAATTTCATATAAAATATAAGACATAAGCACATATATCTTATCTATAAGTCATTTGTATTTTTATTTATAAAAATGACTTAGATACATTTGTTTAAATGAATGTATATATACATTGTATAAATACATTTGTATAAATGACTTAGAGGTACATTTGTATAAGTGAATATGTTATAATCAACATTTATCTAAAACATTGGCTATTTCTTAGAGTTACACTGAAAGGGAGTTATGATGTTTTGAGGATGTTGTTTCCTTCCAAATTTAAAATGTTATTAACATTGCATAAGATACAAATTATCTAATCTTCATAGAAATAAAACTCAATTCAACTTTAAACAACCAAATTATCTAATCTTCATAGAAATAAAACTCAATTCAACTTTAAACAACATGTACCAGAACATAGTATGCCCTCATTTATGCTGCTGGCGTGTGTGAATTAATTGGGCAGCACAAAGGGCATGAGATATCCATGCTGTAAAATAAATAAATAAACAAATCTAGTCAAACACAGGAAGACATTGCATTTGTTGTTCTTATTTGTTTTTAGTAGAACCAGAGGAATAGCAGCTACAACAAGAACACCACCATCACCCAGAGGAGACAGAATCATTTAAGGGAGGCAACATAACCATGAGCAGAATTATTCTGACAGCCTGTATCAGGCTCCTGAAACCTGAAAGTGCTATAGTAATAGTATAACAGCTTTTGAGTTCCTCATTGTAGATGACCAGTTGCTGGCCTGGATATAGGACAAGGCATTTGGAGCTTAGGCTATATTCATACTAAAAAGCTTTCTTCCACCCCTAGTATGGCTCATCTTCACCTACTTTGCTTTTACAGGGCCCTAGAACCAGCCTCTGGAAACATGTTCCCCAAGATACTTCCCCAAGGGAAAAATAAGCTGGAAGATTCATCCACCAAGAAGTAGCCATTTGGTATCCAATCTGAACTGTGACAGGACACTTGAGAAAGTTATGTTTTGCTACAGTGATGTGTGCTCAGTTCATGCAGATGTGTTCAATCTATGAGTAAATAGTGCTTATCAGAGCTATTTGCTGGCTGCTTCTAAAAGAGAATATTTAAAATTTTAACATAGAAGAAATGCTATAGGTTTGGCAATGTAATGGATAATACTAATGAATCATATGTGTTAGATAATTATTCTGAGAAAATGTTATTGTCTTAACATTATATGGCAAATAAAATGCTTGTACACTGGACAAGAATAGCAACCTCAAAGCAGACATTAAAAACTCCTCAGTGAGAGGACCTACCAAATCGATACTGTACATTAATTGGTCTTCCATATAAACGAATTCCATTTAGCAAAGCGATGGCATATGACACTGATTCTGGATGTTTAAAGCAGACAAATCCAAAGGACTTTGGCTTTCCTTCTCTGTCTTTGCATATGGTCACTTTGGTTAGTGGTCCAGCCTATAAGAAACTTAACAATGTTATTTTCTCATAAATCCAAAGATTTTTTTTCTTACAGTCAGATATACTAAGTAAGTTCACTTTTGAAGAAAAAGGAAATCTGTTAGCAATAGGCTTACATAGCTAGGCAAATAATACATCTTGTTCATAAATGTAAATATTTTAAATATATTCTGGCTAACACAAAAATTCATAGAAAAGGAAAATCAAATAGTCCCAAATACAAAAGAAAGAAAGACCATTCTTTTTTTTTGTTTTTAGATTTCACAAACCATTTTAGAGAGATTCTAAGAGTGAAGTAATTTGCTTCTACCTGTCTTATCATTTAATGCAAACTGCAATGACGCAACATCATGAAACTGAAAATATTGACAAAAGAAGCAAAATTTATCATGTATTTTGATTTAGTAACACTATTTGGCAATAACCTCTCAAAGGAGAAATTTACATACTTAAGACCTTGAAACAGTAAGTATAATTATTTAAGAGTGAAAAATTAAGAAATGCTTTAAATAAGGAAACTTGGAGATATTATTCCATGATATATTCTGAAAATTGGAATAAAATACCATAAATAGAAATGTTTGGATTCTATCAATAGAAAACCTGTTATAAATAATGGAGAGTAGTAAAGCAATGTGATAACTATAACTGAGAAAAAAATTATAAGACCTACGCAATCAATCATTACTACAAGAAATAATCATAAAATCAAAGGACCTAATGATGTGTATATTTAAAGATTGTACTTTTTGTAGTGTAAATATATAAAATTTGCTTTTAATTTTTAGAAAAGTCCTAATGACCATCCCTAACTAATTCTGTATCTTGGGATCCCCAAATTATTCTATATCTTGGATTCAGTCTTTAACTTTGTATTACCTTCCTGTCCCAGGAACTAGCTGGTCTTTTGGTCCTTACCAAAAAAAGAAAATCTGTTTCTCATACTTCTTTCATGGAGACAGCTTCCTAGAAACTACTCTGTAACAGTACTTCAAACTTAATTTATTTGGAATTAAATTACCATCTTTACTCTCTATATATCTACTTAGTCTTTCTTAGCTAAAAATATAATGATATATTGATTCCTCTCAACTGAAATGGTAGGTAGTAATTTGAAAATAATCAGTATTATTTACTAATAAAAGGAAATTTCTGTTATTTTTTTTTACAATTTTTACTTTGCTACTAATGATATTTAGTGCATGGAAGCATAAAGAGACAAAATATGTCTAAGTAATTTGGATTTTCATAAAGTTAGACTTGCTGAAACATTTTAAACTCTTCAAGCTCTTAAAAATTTAAATTAATTATTAACCCAACTTTTAGGATTTAAGAAGATTTTTTTAAAGAGTCAACATCTTTTAGGTGTATCAATGATTGAGTAATTTTGAAATATTTTAGACTCAAAATGAAGAACAGTTTGGTAACTCCAAATATTCTGGGTTTTGCTGATTTTGCTGATTCTGAGTTTTTAAAAAAATACTTCACACAATGCATAACTGAAATAAAGGCTGTCTCAAAGATAAGTGTAAAAAAAGAATCCCTTCTACCACTTACTTAATTTTGGAAATTCAGCTCTGCTATTGTCTCTCGTGGAATTTTCCGTGTTGTTTTAGAGGGGAAGTCGCTCTTGATTTCTTTTGATGTTAGCATTATTTTCAATAGCAACAATCTTACTATTAGCAATATTAATAATCTTACTATTAGTAATAGCAGTAGTAAATGGTAACTGCCAGCTGCAGCTGCTTCAGCTGCTTTACAAGGTTAGTTTATCAATTCCTCACAATTGCATCATATTGTAGACACCCATTAGTCATATGATGGTACTGAAACACTGAAATATTCACTTAGGATCAAAGTCATGCTGTTGAACTGACCACAGAAGCCACTTTTCTATATTATGTACTCCTCGGTGTACATTATCCTAATGTGCCAAGTTTCCAAGGGGTAGCTCTTAAATTTGTAAGCACCTTCAAGTGTGCCTAATAATTCTGAATGATTAAACATCACTCATTCTGATGCCTGAATGTAGCTATTATTTTTAGCAAGTTGTTTGACTGGCACACCGGAGTGTGCTTACAAGACACAGGCATAATGCAGGAGCTACAAGCCCCCAAAACTTTCAGAAGGTCCTCATGATAGGAAATAAAAGAGCCGAGGACAGGGAATCCATGGGTGACAGTGGAATCGTTGCACCCTCATTTCAAATGCTGTTTGTCATGTGGAATAAAAATCCTCTTTGCATGAAAGGACATCTGCGGGGAGGGACTGGGGGAGGGACGGATGAGAAATGTACAAGAGACGTTTTTAAAGCAGAATGTGGGACATAAAGGTGCTTTATTACCTGGGGCTAGACAGGGACAGGGCGTTTTTGAGGCTTGCTCCTGCACATCCAAGGCCCAGGTAACTCTGAGAAACCCTTACTCAGGGCTGGAGGTTGAGGGGAGGAGGAGGAGGCCCCACACTGCCACCCCCCAGAACCCCGCAGTGGGAATGGAGCGCACAGCAAGCCACGCCCTTCCCGGGCTGCTCCGGGAGACAGGTGTCCCCCGGTGATGGACGGGAAAGCCAGGCACCTGGCCGAGAGCGCAGGGATAGGCCCCTCCCTCCCGGTGGTCCAGGGCGCCCCGCCCTCCGGCTGGGCGTCCGCGGGTCCGCAGCCCCATCCCGCGGAGGGTACCTGAAGGAATAGCTCGTAAAGAATCTCTTCTCGCACCCGAGCCTCTAAATTTCCCACAAACACGGTCCTGTCGGCCTCCTCCTGAGCCGGGAACATCCCTCCGGTCTTCGCCCCAGGATGGAGGAGGAACCAAGACCACGCCCCTCGCTCCTGTTTGACAGCGCTGCTGGTGGGAGCGAGGCGGGGCCGGCGCCGGGAGGTCAGGCGAGGTGGGCGTGGCGAAGCGGCGTGGCCACGCCCACCCCGCCCGTGGGAACCGCCCAGCTGCCCTGCTGCCCCGCCCCGGATCCGCCCGGGAGAGGGGTAAGCAAGTTTAAAGCTCAAGCTTTTCCATTTTGTCTGTAGGAGTGTTCTCTGTTCTGTGTTTCCTCTCTGCTTTTACTGTTCTCTGTTCTGTGTTTCCTCTCTGCTTTTACTGTTTTGGACCCGTTTAGCTAACAGTTTAAGTGAAGTAGAGATTTAAGATCTAGTAACTTTGCCACATAAGTTTCTAGACCAATGAGAATAGATTAATTGCTCTCTTAAGAATCAGCAAGCACATCCTTGGGGCAGGAGGATTAATAGGGGAAAAACAAAGGAGAAAATGGACTCTTTACCTGACTCATGTAACTAACCCCTTTGTACAGTATCTTTACAATAAAAATGATATTTAAAAATGATTTACAGAATAATATTTGAAGGAATAAATGTTAATAAGGTTAATTTTAGAGAAACTGGTCTTAAAGTTTATTTTCCTTAGAATCGGTCCGCAAAGAACCCTTGAAAATGACAGTAAAAATTTTAGTTGCCCTCAAGAAAGCCTGTTGGACTTGAAGAACAGTGGATTCCAAAGAAACCTTCGAACTGCCTACATAGGATGCTGAAATTAAAATTTCAGTAATGAACACACTGTTTAGGCTTTAGTGGTAGAAAAATTCTTTTAATTGAGAATGTATATTTTTACCTGGTTGTGGAGAAAAAAATCATCGTTTATAAAGGAGAGGATGCATTTTAGGGAACCCTAATTTCTGTTTAATTCGCCTATTACTTAGATTGATGTCCTTGGAAAATCATCTGTTCTGTGTAATTAAGTTAATTTTCTTAAGGAATGAATAGGACTAATCTTACTAAATATAATTATTTAATGTATATTTTCTGAGTGATTCTTTGTCCTGGGAAGCAATCTATATAGTGTCAATTACCAACAAAACTATCATAGTCACAATAATTTAAAGAAAAACCTAGACTTTGAGCAATACAATTATAGATGTAATGTATTTTAAAAATCGTACTGCATTTGCCGTTTTGGAATGCATTTGGACTTTTCCCCTTGAAACTAAAATGATGATTTTCTATATTCATGTCTCCTCACTATTATATACTGCTAATCTCTACATAATTATATTTACTTTTCACTGTTAAACATTTATATTTTCAAATTTTGTCTATTGGAAAAACTTCTTGGAATGAGCGTCCTTGATTTTATAACTTTGGGCACATGTGGTTTATTATTAGATGTAAGGATTTCAGCTTCTGTGGAAAGTAGTTTGAATTTTGAATTAATGAATCAAAGAGTGGAATTACTACTGATTTTTTACCTAAATAAGGCAAAATAAATAAAAAATTGTATCAAAATATTCTGATCAACAGTGGCACACCCATCTAAATACACATTATTCAACTTATCAGTAGTTCTCAGAGGCATATGTGGTAGATAAACTCCATCAATCTTACATTTTCATCATCATCATCACTTTAATTATCAACATCATCAATACATATGTGTGACAGTTTACATTGCACATGTGTTGATATACCTCTTAAAATCATTTTTTAAATCTCCAAATAGGACTAGATGAGTATATAAATCAATAATGTCTTTTAGTATATTAAACTCTTGGCATTTTATATTGTCACCTCCTTTTATTTTGTTACTTATTGGAATAGACAACAATTCTAACATCCTCCCACTTACAATAGCATGAAATAATGCATGTATATAATTTTACACTGTGAAACACGGCTAGGTATTTTATTATCGGAAATGCCACATTCCTGTGAGCTGTTGAGAGTTGCAAAGATGAAAATAATATACTGAAGTCATATTACCATTCGATCTCCCTTCTGAAATGATGGATATTCTTTATTGAGGATGTGCAGTTATTATAGCACAGTGTTTAGAATGGTCTAGGTTATATGTTCACAAAGAAATGATTGCATGGACCCTTTAAAAATTAAACCTTTCACAAAACTCCTAGAGAATAAACATCAAAGTGATGATGAAAATTCATTGGGAGTTTAAATTTTTATGATTAAAAATAAGTATATTATTTGTTTGTGGGTTTCTGGAAAATATCACCAGACCTAAGATTAATTTTCCTGATCTCTGATACAAATTAAACACTGTTCTAACTATGTCCTTGGAACTTTACAGAGTCATAAAGTTTTTAAAAAACAAACTTAGTTTTAGAACTTGTAATCTATGTACTTAAAACATTGCACACTTTTCCTTGATTTCTGAAGTGCATTGCTGGGAAAATAAGAAAATTTAAAAATAAGTAAGTATAAAAAAGAAAACTAGTATTTTTTAAAATGATTGTCACAATTAAAACAAAAATTGTTCTTTTTAAAAAAAATTTAACTATATAAAACAGCTAATGTTTAACTTTTAAAATAGCCTCTGTGCTGTAGATATGAAAAGCCCATAATTTACACTTGACAGTTTCAAGGGGTATGGATTTCATTATTGGTTTTATGGTCCATGAAGACAAGTTGTAATCAAAATGGGCAGAAAACCAACTTTTTCTGACTCTTTCCATTTTCAGCATTTTCTAACAACACATTATTTTCTGGTCTTCCACAAACATATTCTTCCAGACCACTTCTGAAATCCTGAGGCTAAAAGGAATAAGGAAACACATAATTAGTTTTCTCAGTCCCTTAAAGTCAACTTGTACAGTTGAACATTTGTGTGTGACTTATTATGATTTTTGACTTAAAAATCCTTCTCATGATCACAAGCCAGATTGGGGGAAAAAGAAAACAAAAACAAATGAACTTACCTCACCTTTTTCAACAGAGGGAGGAGCAAAAGTCATTTTTATGGGAAAACTGGCCAGACTGTGCCACTCCTATCAAAGAGAAACTTTAATCAATTACAGAATTTCTTTTTTGGTGAATCTCAAGTGCTGCTTTAACTGTTTTTGATTCCAAATGAGAATATACGTTTTTCTGTGTTTGATGTGCTGTGTAAGATCTGGTAAGATATTGAATAATAATCTATCTCTAAAATTATACAATAAAATAATTAGTATAGTTTATATTCTAGAAAAAGAATGTTATTTTGTAATATCATTGTATATCTTATACTGTGATTCTGGCCTTATTTATGTGAAGCTAGATTCCTAAGGAGAATTGTATGTATAAATGTGTGTGTGTGTATGTATGTGTGTTTGGTAAATTGAAGTTCTATAGTATACTTATTTTTCAGACAATTACTAGCTAGTATACCTTTTAAGAAGAATTTAAATAAGAAATATGAGAAACAATAATTCAGTAGTAGAGAAATTAATTCAGGTTTGAATTGTCATGACTTAATAAATGTTTGCTTCACTTTTGTTTGTTCAAATAGCATTATTTTGAGGAGCATTTCTAATGGGTAAATTATTCATTGCAAAGTAAAAATAAAGATAGACTCCAATATTTCTAATAATTTAAACTAAAGCAAGTTTATGTTAATGAGGTAGAACTTTAGTCTTTTGTTTTCTGACTTACAACAATAATTTTAGTAATATCATTTACTACTTCATAGTATAATAAAGCAGAACGACTCGTACTGCCATTAAATTAGAATTACTTGTTGGTTATGGTCGAGCAAGCAGAAATATTTTATTATAATAAATACAGCAGTAAATTTTAAATTCAAAATGATTAGTATTCCATGGAGCAGGTGATTTTCTTTATGTTTCAAATGTGTCTCAAACAGTTCCTAAATGTTCATGCAAGGAAAACACTTTTAAAGTCAATTAGTAATTAATATTATTTGTCATAATTTTATTTGGATAATAATTAGATAATTTTACATAATTCACACAGTTCTGTACAGTTTATAATTTACATTTTACTTTTTTAAAGTTTTTGAATACATATTTGTGTGATGTGTAATATTTTTTAGCACTTCAATTTGAAACCACAGAAATTTTGAATTTAGATGTAATTTGCATGTTTATACACTATCATTTTGAATTTTTTCCAATCATTTAAAAATCAAAGAGCTATTCTTAGATTCCTAACCATATTTGTCTCAAAGAAACTTAGTTTACCAGCCACTGTATTCCATAATTTTGTAAAAGTGTTAAATCTATATTTTCTAGCTTTCTTACTTCACAGTTGACAAAAGTGGAATATAGGCATTTGGATACATTTTTCTGTAACCATATAACTGTGCTAGAATACCTAGGACTCTTGCTTCAAGCAAATTGTTATGCTTAACTGGAGATAAGTCATGAAGTTCTATTTAGCCACATTTTGAGTAGAAGCAGTATACAAAGCCATACAATTTTAGTACTCTGTTTAGAGGGCCATGGTCTTTCCCAAACTCTTGATATTCTGAGCCTACCCTCTCAACAAAATACTTATATTTGTCTAAATTGATTTTATCAATCTATTTTCAATAGTACTTTATTTATAGTGACTTACTTAAACTAGGTTAACTACAAACAGCATTAATTAATATAGTGATCTCTTAAATACAAGGGTGACCTAAAAGAACATGGAATTTGAAAAATACAACACTTGTTTCATGTCCAACAACTTGTGCTCTGGGGCCAACTTACTTAACCTTGTAACTAGGTAACACAACTGAAATGAACCTCAGTTTCCTCACTTCAAAATGGAAATAATAGTGGGAGTACTATATCATTGTATTGGGAAGTTCAGAGGAGATAACATCAATATGCTATTTGGCCAATTATAAAGCCATATCAATCACATTAGAATAATCTACTCTGTTTTCTCCATGTCACTTTGTTTTCATTCTTTAGACAATTCCGGATGTAGGTCCTTTCTATTCATTTTTCATGCAATACTTGTTTCAGAGGGTTACCCATGGAAAAATA